GCTAGGCTAGGTGGCGCAGGCTACCGCCCATTACAAAGGCTATATCCATTTTAACATCCATCCATCCATTCATAGGGCACGACGTGTGTGATTGGATTCAAATCTTGTCCAAACGCTAACGCAGCACTCGTTCCCGGTACCAGCTGAGGCGAACTCACGTCGAATGCTGAGGCAGCCCACGTGTCGAGTACATGCTCATATAATACGCGATCAAGCTACGCGAACTCGGAAAAATTGCGCAACCGCCACTAGACACGTTTCAAAGGAATGCATTATGTACGTATGATAACTCTAACATATTGACGCGCTCCTTAATGAGTCTTTTAGTTGTAAGTTAAGTCACAGCACCTTCCCATTTAGTTGTAACTGAATATATATTAAAAAATGGTTCCGACGTAACAATTTTACCTTTGGTGCCGATTTCAATTTTTCAAATTTCATATTCTCGTAAAGAGTAATCGACAGGTGAGGGTCTCTCACATGCCGCTTAAAACTGCACAAGTAAGATGTGAGGCAGACAAAACCCAAAAATTCTAATCGGTATGTATACTTTTTTTATATATTACGAGAGCTCATAATTTGTGACTGCTGATGAAACGCAGCGGTGCTGCGCACTTTATCTCCGCAACCAATGAAATCGATGCCAGAAAAAAAAGGCAACTAAAAAGTTGCACCAGGCGTTTTTTTTTTTTTTTTTTAAGCTTTCAGTTTCTTTACACGAATGGGGTGGTATTGAAGAGTTCATTTGGAAACGACGAAACGAGGGTCTTCGTTCCCGCTGACGATAGTTGACAATAGCGTGACCGCAGCTCTTGCTGCCAACTGTGTGCTCCGATGGCTGTTTTTTGGTACAGTGATTGTTGGGCGTACCCTTCCGTGTACAGTGATGTAGTGTCGTTTGACGATGGTGTGGTGGCGTACGAGCGGTCAGCCTCGCTGTTGTCTTGGCGTCCCGTGTCCTCTACTTCCTGGAGCTATGACTGTGCATGCTTCGTCCTAGGCCAGCCACGCTCAGTGTTGTTTTCGCCTACTCCGTTTACCGCTTACACTGGACCGCGGTCGACGCCACAGTCTCAGGGGCCCAATCATCCGGCAGCAAAAGTGATTCGTCACCGAGCTCGTTGTCTTTGCGGGATCGACATCACAGGCTGAACCAATCACGCGGAGAACAAACGCGCAGGACCACGCGCGTTTGTTTATCGTGCGTGATTAGTTTTTAGTCGGATGATGGCTAACGCACGGCGATGATGAGCGCCACAACGATGCACTCTTGGCACGGCTTGATTGGCTTCATTGGACAGTATGCGGACCGCTAGTTCGTCTGCTTGTTTTGCAGGGGCTGTGGTAACGTCAGAAAAACGCCCAGCACTGATTGGCTATGTATGCAAGACAGTGGGTAGACCTCGAGGCAGCTAGCTTGCTTGGATGCCTACCCACTATTCTTCAGTCGGAGCCAATCAAAGCTCGGCGTCTTTCTGACGTCACCACAACCCCTGCAAAGGAAGCAGACGACTTGTTCTCCGCTTAGCGTCGGCGTCGGTCGGGCTGAAAGCGAAACGGAGTACAGTAAGGGCATTTCACACGGATGCCGCCTCAGCGCTATACTGGTCAGTGCAGAAAATGGCGCCGAATTTTGGCTCCATGTTTGGTGACGCAGCGCCGGTATACAGTGCTTCGTCATCCGTATACTTAGGTTCGAGTCAGTGGTACATTAGCGTTCTTGCTATGCGAAGCGCAAGTTCGTCTGCTTTTTGCACAGGGGATCCGCAGATGTCAGGATGCCGAGCTCTTGTTGGCTGATTGAATAAAAAATAGTGGGTAGACATGAAGGCATCTAGCATGGATGTTTACCCATTGTCCTTTCAATCAAAGCCAATCACAGCTTGGCGTCGTTTTGACGTCACCAGAACTTCTGCGCAAAAAGCAGACGACTTGCACTCTGTATAGCGCTGACTTAGCGCTGCAGTGTAGGTATCTCTAAACCGGCCTTTTAGAAGAGATTTACTTTTAAAGGCAGTGAAAAATTTCTTCTCGGTAACTCTTAATATGTCCCATGAAGGAACGCGTGTCACGGAAAGATAGCATAATAATGTATACGTTCGTGTTTTCGGGAATTCCCTAAAACAGTGTTTTGAGAATTAAACATAGCTTTGAAAATGCTTTAAAAAATCGTCGTATACATACAATGAAGCGCGTGTAGACATATTGGCTACGGTACACTAATTACTAGAAAATAAAACAACTACACATTCTATGCCTACAGAACACAACAAAATTGGCGTCGATTTAACCGCATATAATGGCGGCTCCATGTGTTAGAGAGGCCAGATATAGATTTTATAAAATGTATGTTATCTAGTTGAGCATTTTATTTATTTTCGAATGGTGTACATTTACAAAGGCGTAAATCATAATTCAAAACTACCGACGTGGAAACGTCGGCAGTTTTGCATGTGAAAACGGCTGTTCTTAAGGTTTGCTGATATTAACATAGGGAATGTCACTGTATGCCTCGCTCGAGAACATAACCATGCAATTCAGGCTTGCTAACTAACTCTTTCAAAACGAACTTACTATCGTCTCCACTAAAACTTACGAATGCTTAGATTCTTATTTTAGGCGGTGGGAGAGCCACGAAATCCGCGCAAAAAGAAATACATTGTCTGTAAGGATCTTAATTGACTTGGCTGGAAATAGGACGGTGAACACCCTCATAAATCAAAATATTCTGTGTAGCTGCGATGCAAATCAATATTGGTGTTAATGACTTACAGCGTGTAATTACCGAACAATGTCTTCGCACACTACGAAATGTTTGATTATGCTTTATTGCGATACATGAGCATTGCTATCAGCCATATCAGCTGGCATTTTGAGGCTCTTATGCAACATTGAACCTATAGTCCCCCTCAGTTAATTGTTCAATTAAACATTGCTATTTAACCTTTCTGTGAATACCTTTGTCATGTAACAGCTTACTTTTCCACATTTAAGGTTTATGCGCGCACAAAATTTGTAGTTAGAATTAAATTAGCTTTTAATTGGCTAAATATTTGTTACTCTTCTCAGTGCTAATTTATTTTTTCCGGGATGGCAACATTAAGCAAAACCGGCTTATTATTTAATGATAAATTTGGATTCTTCTATGCCCATTGCCACTCAATGCAAATGGGCAGATAACAACGAGTTCTGGCAAACATAATTTCTTATTCACTACACACGACTTATTGTCTTCTGAACGACTTGGCATGACTTAAGTTTTCACAATAGATGTTTTCCTACTTTGTCAAAATGCAAATCAATATAGTGCCCTCAATTGCGTTGGCGCAGTTTGTGAGGCTTTAAACTCCTCAATACATCGCTTATTTCCTTAAGACTACATTGTGTAGTACTTATGAGCTGTGTGCAGGACATGATATGACACATGCATCTCACACAGCTTCACAACTTTTGGTAGAGATGCCAATACACTCTTCCGAACTAAATTCTACCACTGCGCTTGCTTCCATGAATGGTAGTGTAGTGGGCTCTGCGCTCTGCACAATGTTGTAGAAAAGAGTGGCTCGGTGTTTTTGACGGCTCAATAAAACCGCCGGGTTCTGATCACATGAGGATCTTTACTGAGGCACTTTAAAAAGCCGTTTTAAAGTTTTACGAACTATGAAACAAGATTTGCTCCAGCTCTATTTCTTAGAAACCTCGAACAGCAAAATCTATCCAAATTTACCTCAGACAATGCAACGGTAAACTTAGTTTAGCTAGATCATAGTTCAGATTTTTGTTCAAACCAGGCTAATCACGCTTGTCCAAATGTTTGAAGCAACTAATCATATCTATGAGTGCTACAGACTTGAAATAATGACCATTGAATTATTTATTATTGAACTACTAGCTTACCGCTGGAGCGTATTTTTGGACATTTTTCAGTGTCACATTCTGCAAAGACATGGATGAATATACCACGGTTGCTCGAGCCCTCCTGAACACTAGCTACTCTATGTAGTTGATTTGAGCTTTGGCCAAGTAGTGCAAGCGCTTGGAAGTGTTTACCACCGATTTGGTTTTTCAGACGTTTTCTCTCTCGCTTTTCAAAGTAGAGTCGTGCTTTTCAAGGAACCCCTCCAGGTTCGGATATCTTATCTTCAGATACAAAGTAGTAAAAATTTTAATCATTCGGGATTTACGCCATAAGAATTATCTGCACGAAAGTGTCTTTAGCTCACCTCTATAATGACCGCGAGAATTCACACGAAACCATACATGTTTGGGTGGCGAAGTGGGGTGATAGTTGATTGGAGGCTGAATTTCCGACATGTTGTTCAGCTTTATGAAAACTCAATTTGCGTATCTCATTTCTTCAGAAGCGTATCGTATATTGATCATTATGGCGTTCATATGGCCATCACTGGCTAAATCTAAGAAAGTTATTCACAGGTTTCACCTGTGTTGACCCGTTCAGTGATCATGAAAGAACAATAGGGTCTAAATTTTTTTATTTGAATTGACGACACCTTTAGGCAATGAATTGTAAAGGTTTTTGAATAAGCTTATTCCCACTTATTGGTGACGAAGGTCCACTTTTCAAAACACAAAAAGAATTAAATGACAAATGAAAACAAATAAATATGCCATTTCTAAGAAAACTGTTACACTAGGGTCTTTCTTCGTTTTCTTTGCGTAGCATTTTTGCATTTGTACCTATCAGAGATTTTTACACGCAATTCTCGTGTCCAGCTGAGCAAACTTTACATAGGCCACATTAGCGATCAATGGTCGTTTATAATCGCGGACATAAAACACGATGATCATGATATCTCAGAAGTAGTGAATCTCGAACTGGAGTGGGTCGTTGAAAAGAGACACGCTGCTTGGCCTATGAGATGAGATATCTGAAGATACCTCTTCTTAATCTTCCATAAGAACGGCTTTTCTCCCCTCTCTTTCTCTTTGTCTTCTTTATTATTTTCGTTATGGTTTTTCCGACATTTTTGTGTCCGTAGACGATCCGTACTACATTCAGGAGAAGCTGGCCTATGAGAAATCAGGTACGCCACAGCATAAGAACGTCTACGGCCTTGTGACGCTCTTTTTTCACTCGCACTGTCTTTCTCTCTCTCACTAGAGCTGCTGCTGTCCGATGTGTCTGCTCTGCTGCCTTTTTCTCGTTCTTGTAGCTCTATCATGTCACGTGCTTCAATGCCTTCCGCTCTCTTTCTCTCTTTTCGTCTGCATCTATAGCTCTGTCTTGCGCAAGCTTTGTCCCTTGTTTTGTTGTTTTCGTTTTTTTCTTTTAATTTATACAATTTTTGTTTGAGTGCCCGTGGAACGCTGGAGCCTGCATCACATGCCGAAAGCTTTTGTGCTCAGCCTATGAATGTTTTTTTTTTTTTTTTTAGTAAACGGGCAACGCACTCCACACGACGCACTTGTCATAACAATAGCGGAGTGAAGAGGGGCAAAGCATAATGAACAAAGTAGGCGTCAAAGCCCAACCACGAATATATTAAAAGCTGGTACGAATAACTCGAAAAGAAACTTACTGTGAGCCTCAGAATAAGAGACGACGTTTCGTTCAAAAGTGTCAGCGAAACGTCGGTTGTAACTCTGTGGCTTCATGAAGCTTCTTTTCCAACTTAGGTGTTTATATTCGGTGACACGTCAAGAAAAAACAAGGTATTGTGGGTAGTTTCTACGCCGCGCGAAGTAGCTTTTACCGTATCTAGTTCACAGACAAAAAACTTTCGTGAAGTTGAAACGTGTACGTCTTGGTAAGCATGTTAATGGCGTAGTCTTAAATGAACATACAAGTATCTCAATGTTTTCTGGTTCTTAAGATAACAAGTACAGAGATGTGAAGGATATCAAATCGGTACGCACCATTTCCCATATTTGCAAAGATTGCTCTAGGACCCAAGAAGAGTTTGTGAAACACATTGTTCTTTCTGGCAGTACATGCATCTGGAACGTACTCTTGCTGCTTTCTCAATATTTTCAAGCCGACGACTGGTCAACCTGGTTAAAATACTTTTGCAGGGCATTAATTTACGTATAAGGCATGAACCCGAAACGCGACTCATTTTTTCCAAGACTTCTCAAATACTGTTGACGTTGGCAGATTATTCAAAGCTACGTGGCGGTAAACACTGTCAGTCATTTACACTTTCCAACAAATCAAACAACTAAACATTAGATTGGATGTACGAAACATTTATTACTGTTGCTTGTGTCTGCATGGAATCTGAACAAAGGGACTTCATTAAAATATTTTTTGGCGCGATTGCCACGTACAATTTTTTATATGCACACAAATTATTAAACAGCGTTTATATATAAAGAAAAAAAGCATTTTGCAGCAGGCTGTGGTGTTCTTCAAAGTGTCTAGGCTGTCGATCACCATTAACATAATGGTATTGTGCGGACGTGTCAATTATATACTTTTTCTTCGGTGGCTTGCTCAGAGGTGTATTTCAGAGACTGGTTTGTGACAGTAGTAGCAGCAGCACAGCTCAAAACTTGTAGCTTTTAGTTTACCATTGCACTAAACGTCTAAATTTTCATGATAACGTTTTTATAGAACAAGATACTTTAAATAAAAGGTTCCTGTGAATAGTTTTGTTTTTATCTAGAACCCATTCCCAAAGGGAATACTCATTTATGGTTGCAACTTATAGTTTCCTCAGAATTAAAAAGACCAGGAAAACGTTATTTTTAATTGCTTTCAACTTAAATATACTTTGTCAAGTTTCAACACACGACCAGACTTCTCCTCTCTACAGAAAATTCACTACTAAGCTTTCCTTCTGAAAAGATTATTAACCAAAATTTCCAGAAAAATAACTGTATCTGTCCCTCTTAATCACTCCTGTTGCTATGACAACCCGAGTTTGGCCATGTGGGTCGTTGTCCCGTTTAACAACCACATCCTGTGGCCTGACGACCTGAGCTTGCAGCCGCGCAGCAAGACTTGGATGAGTCAGCATGTTCGTGTGCATGGTACTGTGTCCGTGCTGTGATCCTGCGTGCTTACTTGTGTTGTTGGTCACACCAAATGCCACACAGCGTCTTGAAGTGGCCGGAAGGTACTACCACGTCATTATGGCAATCATCTGATATTTCTATTTAAGTGGGTACGTGAGCTGATGTTCTTGTAATATGCGAGTACTTTGACAGACACTGAACACACTGTTTCTCCTCTGTGACCTCAGGAACTTACTGAAATCCAGGTTCACCAGTATAGCTAATTCGCGTTTATATATTAGGGTCACTTTAAAGGTAAATGTTTATGACCGCTTCGTTGAGATGAAATTGATGATCTGTAAGCATTACATCTGTGAACGCTTGCTTAGGTAAATAGTTCGGCAAATATGCTGCATTTGACTAATTTACTTATAAACCGAGAAATGTTGAAGGGACAGTCAGAGCTGCTTGCAATGTGGTATAGTTTTAATGCAAGCTGAAATGCCAAATTTGGCATATATATTGATTGTTTAACCCTATGAGGAGTGGTGTTTTTAAATGATTCCTTGAGGACCGCTGCGGTTCTTGAGCAGTGATTTAAAAATGGACGTACCAAATTTTTCCCGCAAGCCGCGTGAGAATATTCGTGGTACCATCATCTTGTCTATCCGAACTAATTGCACTGCGGTCTCTCAGCCAGCATACAAATGCTTAGAAGAAGTAAAACAGCGTTGGCTAGAAGGCAAGCCGAAAGGCTCGCCGATTTGGGAAGACGCCACAAAATCGAAAGGCCACTTCGAGACGCTGCGTTGCTTTGTAATCACACATATCACCAGGAACGTGTTCCTGGGTGCCTCATTTGACACATGACAGATCCACACGTTTCTACCATGTTTTATTGTGATGTTGCTCTTTGCCAGCTACGTCGTGAAAGTTTTGCTCTTATTCGTGTTATTTCTTTTCGACTCCCATCGAGTGAAACAAAAAGAATAAATATATCTATGATAGGTCATAAGTCGTAACTGCTCATTGTAGCTTCTTTACAATGTTCCAGGAAGCTTTTAGCTAAACAGTGAACATCGACATTCATTCCATTTATACAAATGGCTTTGCTAAGCCTGTGCGCGGAGACTTGCACGAAATACGAGTAGATTTCTCAAACCAAACCACACGCATTTATAACGAAACTTCACACTCTCTTGTTATTTACCAAATTGTCTTAAGAACTTTGATATGTTTTTTGTTTTCTCAACTCAAAGATGTTTTTAGTGCTTAATACTCACCTGCAGCCCGTGTAAGCAATACGAAACAGCTCTGACTCTAAAAAAAGTATGCTTTGTGCGTTATAGGACTCTATGGAAAAGAAGTAATTATAAACTCATAAAGTTTTACAGCAACTAGGAAGATGAATGACGAAGTGCCGAGCCTACCAGTGATCTTTGTTAGAGATAGCACATAAAAATAATTGTTACTGACAGTAAAGCAACGAAATGCTATGCGGAAGACAGTAATCGCAAAAACAAAGTGCAGCGGTCGCTGCTTCTCGAAATAATGTATTCGTAGGGCAAGATAAATCTTTGCAGGCTACAAAGAGGTGGACTAACAAGATATTTCTGAATGAATTTGTTCAAGCAGAAAGTGAGAGGACGAAGTTTTGTATAACTTTAGTTTTGAAGTGTTCATCGAAGTGAAGCAGATGAAGATGTAACGTCTGCCTTCTGTGCAGCAGGCGTTCGTGTTAAAGTCTCCCGCCTCATTTTGGGTATCTTGGTAGGGCAGAGTAGGATACGGCGCCACTAGCAGCCTCGTCAGCGGGACTGCTTCAACGGCGAAGAATTCAAACCGCGTTTAGACTTTGTGCCGTGCTATGTTTGGTTTGATTGTTTCGTTTTCTCGGCGCTGCCTGGTATGGCCAGCTGCGTGTGACTAGCCGAAAACTAACCGGCCGTCGCCAGCAAGCCCGCGCTGTCGTACGCTGATGCCATCTGCGTGCTTTGGGCCTGTTCCGGTGCTTGCGCAACGCCCACCCTCCAAGAACGGCCGATGATTCACTAACGTTGCACTGATCTCACACAGATCTCCTACGAGAACACGGAGTCAACGAAGTACCCGAGGTGGAACTCACCGAAGCTCAGAAGATTGCGCTAATGGGTCGGCCCAGGATCGGCGACCAGAACAGGTGCACGATTCGCATCAAGGAAAGCAAAGAATTCAAGGTTTGTGTGACTTCCAAGATTATTCAATAACTTCCAAGATGGACGAAACACCATTTCGTGCGATTTCTGATAAAGCTTCAGGCGATTGGCAACAATCACTTTCGGCGTTGTCAGTCTGAAGCGCAGCTTTCATAGCGACTCTACGCTGAACTATAGTCGGTGACATGCTACGAGTTCAGGGCGAGAGAAAGGAAGGCTTGAGAGGTGGAAGCAAGATGAATTGCTGGAGAGGAGAGAAGGAAACATCCCCCTGTCTTCACCATTTCACCTGCTTCCTCCTCCCTAGCGTTCCTTTCTCTCGACCTAAACTCCTAACCTGTCTATGACTACAGAGAGAGCCCCGTAGGAATTCTCTCCGGCGACTCGTGACGCGTCTGTTTCTTGCAGAACACAGTGGACAAACTCTTCCAAAAGGCCAACATATCCCTGATGATTGGAACCTCTTCGTGGAAGGAACAGTTTAAGGAAGCTCTGACCGTGGTAGCGGGTGAGTAAAGATTGGTAGTGTTTTAGTCTAATCCGAGGTATCGCGTTCTTCCGTAATTCTGTCATTTTTAGTAGTTACTACGGAACAAGTTCGGACTAAAATAATATTCTCGAAGCTGTCAAAATTCGAGTTCGACAGAATCGCCTCTCAATGCTCTATTGTTTGTAGATGCGTATAGGGGTCGCTCATTCCGTGAAAGACTAAAGGCTGGTTCCAACATTCGCGTGTGACTGTGACCGACTGCGTTGCGATCGTTTTTCACTGCTTACCACGAGTGAACACACTGGCGCCGTCCATGGAGAAGCCATGGAACACTTCCGATATATTGTAACGTGTATTCCAAAAGCTAGCTACCCCACGTACTAACTATTCTCCTTCGGCCTTCTACTTTTTTTTTCTGCACTTCTTGACTTTTATTTTCTTACGTTTCATCGGGACCATGTTCCATAAAGTGGTCCTCCACTTCTGCTAATTCGTCAACATGTCCCGTTGAAGGTACAATTTCAGTTACATTCGATATACAGGAAAATCTCGGCGCCTCCGGTCATTATAGAGTTCCGGTACGTCTTTTAGCCTGTAGTTGACAGGACGCAGACGTTTCATAATCTTGTACGGTCGTCAGTAACATGGTAGAAACTTCTCTGATTTGCCATTGATTCTCATCAGACGGCGTACCAGAACCAAATCACCCAGAGCCGTTTATCGAGAGAGTTTGGCCATACATTGGTTTGAATAGGCGAGCATCTCGGGGCCAACCACAGGCCGCGAAACAGCCCCTAGCGGTGGTCGTGAACTCTAAATTTGTGACACGACTAATTCAAGCCGTTTTAGCGTCGCTAGAGTTAAAAGGTGTAACTCTCAGTGACTGAAAACTTTGTGCGTGCGAGGTTTTCGTCACGCCAATATTCAAGTGTAGAATAAACGAACGTGCGATCCAAACCAGGGCCAACTTGCTAGAAACAGCGTCTCAGCTGTGACGGTGAAAGGAAGCACTGCCAAAGCCAGCGCACGTGCCGAGCTGGACTCCGCGTCTCTAGACGCTCGCGCGCCCCACCCTTTGCACTGTTTTCTTTCCGCCAGTCACAGGACGCTGTTCTAACAAGCCAACATCAGCAGTGCAGAGAAAGGCATGGGCACGAGCGCGTGGCTTTGGAAAGTGGCTCCTATGCACGAGCTCTCGTACAAACAAAAGCGTTTTGAGGATCTAGGTTCGCGCGCCTGCACCTTTGTCTTCACTTCCGACATTTGTGAGATGGAGCAGAGGGGCCGAGATGAACGCCTCTATTTCACGCTTTGAATGTCGTTTGCAATATTGTGACGTCGCGGTCTCCTGATTGGTCGACGCTGTGTCACAAATTTAGTTTACGCTCTAAGCGCGGGGGGAATATTCGGCGCTGGCGGCGGCCTTTGCTCCGCCTATTGGCCAAACTCTCCCAATACACGGCTCTGAAATCACCTAAAGTTCTTAGATAAGAGCTTCCTACAAATAGCGACATTCTTTGACGCGACGACTGCGTGATGGAGCAAGTTTTAGGAAGCGAATGGCGGCGCACAGCAGAGAACTGAATTGTAGGACGCCATTTTGTTCCAGCGGAATGTGCTTTCTCATTCGTATTGGTTGTCGTTACTTGTAAAAAGATGTATCAAGGGATTTTAAAGTCACCACCTGTGAATCGATGTTGTCGCGTCATCGTGGGACCCGCTTGATCGCGTAAATCGTGGTTGTGCAAATAGCGAGTTGGGCTTTCACCTGAGCACGTTTGACGGTACTTGCGTAGTTCATACGGTACTCGTCACGTTGTCTGTTCCACAGACAATCGAAGTCACTTTCACCAGGGAGTAAAGCCATTCTTCCATAAGTCGAAATGGAGTTTCCTTGGTGGTTTCTTGTTGAGAAGTGTTAATGGCAGGTGCAGTTTTGTGAAGAAACTGATCCCAATTTGTGTGAGTCATTCACGTACGCTGTTAAGACGTCCGATAGTGTGCGATTCGTGAGCTCCACAAGTTTGTTAGTCTAGGAATGTGTAGGGGATGCTGTGGAATGATGCAGCCGATCTTCCTAAGTGTGGTCTAAAAAGTTCTGGACATGAACAGAGCTCCTCTATCGCTGATGATTGCCTTGGGTACCCCGTGTCTGAGAACAAGATGTCGTCTCACAAAGCGTGTAAGGTAGAACGCCGATCCGTCAGGTAACGGCCTCGACCTCTACCCACTTGCTCAAGTGATCGTCGGCTACGAAGATGTATCTGTTCCCTTAAAGAGATAAGATAATCCGCCAACCAAAAATTGAAATAGTAGCGACCCTACGTTTCGAAACCGTTCGTTTCTTCTTCAGGGGGATGAATGAAGGACAGCAGCTTCTTCTTCTTCTAGATGTTGAGCGACTTCTTTTTCTTTTTCATTGGTCTTAGTAGGCTGGTCGTGCCGTGCGCAGTCTGTTATAACATCTTGGAGGCCGGTAATATATAAAGTTGGAAGTGTCCCTAAGGACCTATTGATGTTGTTAGAGGTTGTTTGTATGTACCATGACTCTACGAGGTGTCTTCTACGTAGATTTGATGCCGTGTCTAGGATGCTTGCGTTTTCAAAGGCAATGCGGTGGTCGAGGGTCTCGCAATGTTCAGCGAGAGCACTGCGTTCTCTGTCGAAGTTTCGCACGTCGTTTTTATGTTGGCGGAGTCGATCGTGGAAGTTCTTCGATTCGCCGATATAGGAGGCGGGGCATTGGGAGCATGGAATCTTATAAATGACGCCCTGGGCCCTGTCCTTCGGGGGCTTGTCCTTTGGGCGGGGTAGGAAGTGCCCAAGAGTTGACACCGGTTTGTGTGCAACCATAATATGTTCCTTTGCGAATAGTCTGGATAGTAGTTCGCTCGTTCCTTTCACGTAAGGGATGCTGACGCGTGCTAGCGGTTTGGAAGCTGTTCTTGCAGGTTGGTTTATCCTATTATGGTTCTGACGGCGAACCACATGGCGAATGAAATTACCGGTATAGCCATTCTTTTTTAGGTCGCTGATGATTGTTTGTTCCTCTTTTCTTTTGTCGTTTTCAGAAGAGCACACAGCCTTAGCTCTCGTAAACAGTGTGGAGACGACAGACGCCTTGTGGCTAACCGGGTGGTTGGAATCGAACCGGAGGTAACGTCCAGAGTGAGTTGGTTTCCTGTGCACGGTAAATTTTAGGGTATCACCTTGTCTTCTGACCAGCACATCGAGAAAGGGCAAAGTGTTGTTGTGTTCGCGTTCCACGGTGAATTGTATAGCCGGTTCTATAGAGTTGAGGTGGCCGAGGAAGTTGTCCACTTCTGATCCTTGTATGATGCAGAAGCAGTCGTCAATATACCGTAGGAATATCTGGGGTCTGGATGCAAAAGATTGTAGAGCCTTCTGTTCGATTACTTCCATTGTCAGGTTGGCCATGGCAACGGAGATGGATGCGCCCATTGCCGTGCCACTAGTTTGTTGGTAGAATTGTTGTTTGAAGGAGAAGTAAGTATTGTTCAAGCAGAATTCTAGGAGACGACATATCTCATCGATGCTGAGGCAAGTTCTTGTGTCTAAGTCTTCATCCTTCTCGAGAGCTTCTCTTGTTGCGGCGACAGCCAGAGGAATCGGGACGTTTGTAAAAAGGGATACAACATCGAGTGATACCAGACACTCGTCATTGTTGACCCTTATTTGCGATATGCGTTCTACAAAATCGCTGGAATTTCGTACGTTAGTCGGCGTATTCCCGGCGAGAGGGGATATTACTCTGTGTAAGTAGTCTGACAAAGCTCGAAGTGGTGAAGTTGTGAAGTCAACGATGGGTCTCAGAGGAACGTCGGGCTTATGGATCTTGGGAAGTCCGTAAAATCCTGGAGCGAATCCATTTCTGCAAATCAGTCGAAGGTAAAGGTTCTTTGACTCCGGGTAGTTTTTAAAAATTATTGCCAGCATGCTGTTTAAGTTTCTCTGTATGACGAGCGTCGGATTCCGTTTGAGCTTCTTGTAGGCGGAGCAATCAAGAAGTTTTTGGGTCTTTTCTTCGTACGCTACTCTGTCAAGGACAACAGTCGTGTTGCCTTTGTCCGCTGGTAAGATGACGATGGTGCTGTCTTCTCTGAGCTTGCGGAGCGCTGTGTGTTCCTCCTTAAAAACAATGACGAGTGTCTGGTATCACTCGATGTTGTATCCCTTTTTACAAACGTCCCGATTCCTCTGGCTGTCGCCGCAACAAGAGAAGCTCTCGAGAAGGATGAAGACTTAGACACAAGAACTTGCCTCAGCATCGATGAGATATGTCGTCTCCTAGAATTCTGCTTGAACAATACTTACTTCTCCTTCAAACAACAATTCTACCAACAAACTAGTGGCACGGCAATGGGCGCATCCATCTCCGTTGCCATGGCCAACCTGACAATGGAAGTAATCGAACAGAAGGCTCTACAATCTTTTGCATCCAGACCCCAGATATTCCTACGGTATATTGACGACTGCTTCTGCATCATACAAGGATCAGAAGTGGACAACTTCCTCGGCCACCTCAACTCTATAGAACCGGCTATACAATTCACCGTGGAACGCGAACACAACAACACTTTGCCCTTTCTCGATGTGCTGGTCAGAAGACAAGGTGATACCCTAAAATTTACCGTGCACAGGAAACCAACTCACTCTGGACGTTACCTCCGGTTCGATTCCAACCACCCGGTTAGCCACAAGGCGTCTGTCGTCTCCACACTGTTTACGAGAGCTAAGGCTGTGTGCTCTTCTGAAAACGACAAAAGAAAAGAGGAACAAACAATCATCAGCGACCTAAAAAAGAATGGCTATACCGGTAATTTCATTCGCCATGTGGTTCGCCGTCAGAACCATAATAGGATAAACCAACCTGCAAGAACAGCTTCCAAACCGCTAGCACGCGTCAGCATCCCTTACGTGAAAGGAACGAGCGAACTACTATCCAGACTATTCGCAAAGGAACATATTATGGTTGCACACAAACCGGTGTCAACTCT